AGTGTGGCCAGCAGGTTGAGGGAGGTGATCACTGTCCTCTACTCTGCCCTGGTGAGGCCACACATGGAATACACTGTCCAGTTCTGTGCTCCCCAGTTAAAAAAAGACAGGGATCTCCTAGAAGGAGTCCAGTGGAAGACCACAAAGATGATAAAGAGCTTGGAGCATCTCCTGTATGAGGAAAGGCTGAGAGACCTGGGTCTGTTCAGCCTGGGGAAAAGAAGACTCAGTAAAGACTGGTCTGGTAAATATTTATAAATATCTGAAAGGAGGTGGAAGGCAAAATGGATGAGGCAAGGTTCTTCTCAGTGGTATGCAGTGTTAGGACAGGGAGTAATGGCCTAAAACTTGATCATAGGAAATTCCATACAAACATGCAAAAGAACTTCTTTATGACAAGGATGACAGAGCATGGGAACAGGTTACCCAGAGAGGTTGTGGAGTCTCCTTCTGTGGAGATATTCAATACCTGTCTGGACACCTACCTGTGTGACCTATTACAGGAAACCTGCTTTAGCAGGGGATTGGACTTGATGATCTCTTGAGGTTCCTTCCAGCCCTTGCAATTCTGTGATTGGCAGCTTTGCATGGCTGGGTTAGTCCCACATGTTCTTACCTGAGCTGCCCACAGAAATGCAGTCATGCTTTCAGTTACTTGTAGGGGTTGCAATCTGCCTTGGCTGTGGCAGGCTTGCACTGCCCCTTCTCCCACCTTTCCATGAGATCACTGTTAGGGTACTGCAGTTACCAGTGCCTTCTTCAGCTGCAGCACATTTTGTCATCCCAGTTCCTTTGAATTCAGTGGTGCAGGGGCATTCCCTTGGCTCAGGTACATCCCAATCTGGTGCATTTCTGGCCCTCTTTGCCCTGTGCTGAATGGATGTGATCCGCAAGCAAAATAGAAGTTTGTGAGCTAATTTTGTGAAAGCCTCTCCTCTGTGCTTCAGCTTTTAATCTCTTCCTAGAAGACAACTGATGGCTGCAGTAGATGATGCCAAATACAGAGTCCCAAACAGTACGCCCAAGCTGGCACATACTCCTAACCTTGTTCTTTGTAATAACTTTATGCAGTATGAAAATTCATGAGTGTTTTGTTTTCCTTTGGGTTAAGGAATTATCTGATCAGCTGTCTGTCTTTTTGAGAGATGTAGTCTGTATTCCTCTTCCATCTCAACTCCTTTTTAAAAGCATCTGACTGGTTCCCATTGTCCTGGCAGTGTTCACAGGTTCCTTTTGGAGAGCACGCAAATGACAAAGGCCTAAAGCCAACTGGTGCAATGCTCACTGACCGTTGCAATGCTTAAATAGGCATGAAGTCTGGAATTGGGTTGCCTAAACACAGATATCTATGGACGTGTTCAGAACTGTAAGGTAATAATTGTAGCAGTATCATTGTTGTTGCAGAAGGGCATGGATCTTGTAGAGCTTCCAGGATGCATTTGAAATGTCAACATGACCCCATCCTTGGGCACATGAAACTCTTGTTGTGTGTTTGTTAATTAGGTGGTAGCTTGCTATGCAAGGAGGAAAATCAGTCTGTATCTTATTGTGGTGTGGCACTTTGAATTTTTTTATTTCCTGGCAAAACAGAAGTGTATTTGATACTATCTGTTTATTCTAATTCAATACAGTCCTTGTTCAGGAAGTTGGAATTTTCTTTTTTGGGGGTGAGGAAAGTGCAATACAGATGAGTTGGAAGGTAGCAATGTATTAAAACAAGTTCGCTGTGATAAATCTGTTGAGGTGAGCCTATATCTAACTGTTCAGTAGAGTACTGCTGCTGCAAGACAGGAGTTTGGCATTACACAGGAGGAGTTAGGTGAACATTGACATTTTCCATTATTTTAATTTGTTTTGCTGTCATGTATTGCAAACTTATCTCTAGTTTCATGCTATCTGGTACATTTAATAACTGGATATTGTTAAAATAAATCTTAGCAAAAGGAAGCCAGGAAAATAAATGAAAGGAGATGTAGCAGTAAATGAGAGAGAAGAAGAATCCAAGCTTCTAAGTTTCTTCCCTATCTTAATCCAGCACTGTGTCAGTGGGGTGGTTTAACAACTGATGAGTGGCTCAACCCCACCGTACCACTGTCTCATTTCACCCCGTTGAAAAGGCAGGGGGAAAAAATAGGGGGGGGGGGGGGGGGGAAGAAACAAAAAACTCTTGGAATGAGATAGGAACAGAGAGATCACTCACCAGTTACTGTCATGGGTGAAACAGACACAGCATAAAGGAGATTAATGCAATTTATTCCCTACTGATAACTGACTAGAGCTCCTCTCACCCCTCTCTTTGAGCTGCAGTTGCACTCTACTGCTTCCTCCCTTCAATCTGCTTTCCCAGATGCACACCCAGTGTTGCTCACAGCTCAGCTCTGCCCAGCAGTGGGTCCCTGTGGGAGCAGCTGGAGCTGCTCTGCTCTTAAATGGGGCACTGCTGGGCGCTGCTCACAGAGGACACCTCTCAGCCCCCACTACTGACGCCTTGTCATGTAAAACCAATACAAGCAGGCAGTTTGCATCTGGCCCTACACGAACAGATCCTTCTGAACAGGTGGGGTAGGGAAATAAAGAAGTAACTTGTTTTCACTATTCATCCTGCATACCCAATGTGAGAGAAGAAAAGTCTAATTATTTTTATGAATATGTTTTCCTGAGTTGCACTGAAGTCTTGCAGCTTGTAGCACCTACACATTTCTCCCTTCAACAAGAATGCACGTTCTTCTAAATGCTGTGTTAAAAACATTTCCAAGCAAGATTATGTTTCTTTTTTAAGATCGAGACTTTCTTTTTTTTTTTTTTTTTTTTTTTTTTTTTTCCACATTTGGCAATTGTCTTTACAGACAAAAGATACTGCAGTTTTTTAGATCAGTTTTATTGGACAGCTTGTGTGCATATCTGAGTCCTGACGTGTACTGGCGTGCCGTCAGAAATGGCTGAACTTACAACATGCTTTGGTGTGTGTGCAGCGAGGCTGAATGCCTCTGTTCAAGTGAAGGTGAGCAGCATCTGCCGCTCTGAATCCCTCCTTGCCTCACCTCAAAGATGATAAAAGTATGTGCTCAGAGGAGAGGCAGGGACACATCTGCCCAATATCTGCCCCGCACCACGCACAGCCAACTGCTGGTGGGCTGGTATTTAGGGTTCCTTCTGTAGAGCACATGTGCCTTCAGAGTCTGAAATACTCTAGTGTAAGCCACCAGCCAGCTGAACTGTGGTGATTAAATATTTCTAAAAGTTGCCACCTTAGCCTCCTAATTTTATTCACAGGGTGGTGAGGCACTGGCACTGGTTGCCCAGGGGTGGTGGATGCCCCATCCCTGGAGATACTCCAGGTCAGGCTGGACGGGGCTCTGAGCACTTGATGGAGCTGTAAGTGTCCCTGTTCACTGTAGGGGATTTGGACTCTATCGCTTTTAAAGATCCTTTCCAACATTAATGATTCTATGATTCTGTGATTCTGTCCTAGTTGAAGCTACTTGTTCTCCAGTCTGTCTATAAAAGCTAGGATTGCCTAGTGCCAGCTGCTGAATCTAGCACCTGGCTCCTGTAAAGTTTCATGTTTGTGATAACTACCAAGCCCTCTAATTTGCCTAGTTCTCTCTTCAAGGCCTCTCCTCACTATCTAGGGAGTCAGCATCTCCTTCTAATTTAATGTTACCCATAAACTCACCTAGCATACCTTTGAGTCGTGTGTTGAGACCATTTACAAAAACACTGAAGAGGGCTGACTTCAAAATGTGGAACCTCACTAGGTTGATATAGTTTCATTTACTGTAACCCTCGGAGCCTGATCCTTCAGACAATTGCTCACCTGTTATGTTGTGCACTTGCCTAGCTGTGTGCTAACTGCACACACCAAAACGCCTAGATTGTGGTAGCATCTTTGAGCATTTCACAGCACGGGAGAAGGGTAGGGAACTTTGGCCAACCTAGGGCAATTTCTACAGGGAAAATGGGAGGAATATATGCATGGTAGCACACCTTGGTGATCCTTTTGGGATCGCTGTTATCCTAGAGTTACAAGCATATGAAGGTTTCTGTTATATCTCGGATGTTTAGTATTAATCACTATTACTTACACACATAAGTTAAGAAGGCTTAAGTCAGGGGCTGCTAAGTGTTACACTTAGCAGATCTGGTCCTTAGAGGAGGATAGGAGTTTTCTTTCCCATTCTTGTTGGGAAAGGTGATATCCTTCAGGGTCGTTGAGGGTTTAATTATGCCCTTGCAACATTGTAATGTGCCTGGAGGGATTTTGCTGAAACTTAACAACAAAAGCAGGAGACAAGATGGAGAATGTGAATTGTGTTTGTTTTGTGTGAAGTGCTGGAAGTGGGGAGCCAAATCTTTGCTTGGTTATGGCGTGTGCTACTTTGTATGTGCAATAATAAAATTGTTATTTTTCTTCTCCATATGAATGACAGGGAAATTCTGTTCTGAAGACCTGGTTACTGGCCTGTTACTGTGTAGCTGAACTAATTGCACAAGCTCAATGTAATGCTGGTACTTGACAAGGTTGTGTTCTGAGTGCCTGGGGAAAGGCTCTGGATGTTGTGTGGTGCCTTGTCATGGAGGCGGGGTACTTAATGTCCACTTCATCTTGTTCCTTGAGGCTTGGTGGAAGCAAAAAGGAATGCAAGATGAGCTTTTCCCTCTGAAACATTGAGTCTTTTGTTAAGAGCCCTTTATAAGTGGAAAGCCAGCTTGTTTTAAAGTTACAAGAGCCATTCTGACATCATTGTCAAAATCATAATTGCTGCATCACCCAGGAGTGGAGAATAGAAGAGTGGTAGTGTACTAACTACCTTTAGTAATCGCCTTCAGCTGTCCTTTCTTAATGAAGTTGATCGCCGAGGTTCTCTGCTTCGGAGCTGCCCCGGCCAGAACTGCAGCGACTGGTCTGAGGTACGGGGAGGTTTCGCTCGGCGACTTCGACCAGGGAACCCCGAGGTAACAAAACACAGCAGCCCAGCAGCTCTCGCGAGAGCTGCTGACGTGAAGTGGGCGTTGCCGGGGCAACGGCTCTGCATCCGCACTCCCTGCCCAGTAAAAGCCTCGGGGAGGGCAGTGATGTGTAGCTGCGCTCTGACAGAAGGCTACTGCAGGAAAAATGGGGAGACCCAGACAGATGTCCTGAAACAACGTGCTAGTGTGTGGATCTCTGGCTGTGGTGAGTGCCAGAGCCTGGCCTTTGCAGTGCTGGGCGATGAAGGCAGCACTTGTGAGATGTAACCAGCTAAATGACTCACTCAGCCTCGTGGTTGACTTGAAAGAGGAGGTGGAGAGGCTGAGGAGCATTAGTCCCTATCAGCCCTGAGATCTAGGCAGCCAGCTGAGGCTCCACATGGAGCACCTCACCCCCTGCTGCCTTGCAAACAGGTGATAGAGGGGAACCGGCAGGCAGTGTTCCTGCTGCAGTGACCCCCTGTCCTCTCCTCCCTCCAGGAACAACGGTGAAGAAGAAGGCTGTGGGGCAATGGCAAAAGGCCCCTGCTCAGCATGTCCGCCCAGAGATTCCCCTGCCTTCCCAGCTGCCCCTGCGGAACAGGTACAGTGCTCTGCAGGGACAACTGGACAGTGGTGGTGATGATGATGGTTCTCCCCACTTGCAGGTGTCACTGAAGTCTAGCCAGACCACGCTTAGCATTAGAACCTCCTCAGCAAAGAAAAAACAAAGGGCCATTGTCATTGGTGTCTGCTGGAGGGAGCAGAAGGACCAATATGTAGACCAGACCCTCTCACAGGGAGATCTGTTGACTCCTGGGGGCCCGGGTTAAAGATGTAAGGAAGAAACTTACTTCCATTGTTTGGCCCTCAGATTACTATCCCCTATCGTTGTTTCAGGTAGGCAGTGATGATGTATGAAGAACTTTCCTAAAGCCTATGAAAAAGGACTTCAGAGCCTTGGGGAGACAGGTCAAGGGTTTGGGAGCACAAGGCATGTTCTCCTCCATGCCTCCACTTATAGGGAATGATAAGGAAGTAAATATGATGGGCCCGTGGATTAATACTGGGTTCTGAGCCTGGTGTGCCCAGCAGAGGTTTGGGTTTTTTGACCTCTGCTTGATTTACACGAGACCAGGCCTGCTGGCAACCAATAGGAATAGCTTATCCCACTGATGGGAAGGGGTCTTACAATGGGAGTTGGGAAGGTTCATTGATAGAGCTTTAAACTAGGTATGGATTTGGGTGGGGGTGTAACTGGGGTCAGAGCCTGTATGTAACATGACAGTGCTTGTGGGAGAGGGATGTGCTGGTAAGATCCCACAGTCTTGTGTCTTGGTGAAGGAAGAGGACGACTCGCCTTTTTGTAGGAAGAATACAGGGGTTGATGTGAGGTTGGTGCTACAGAAATAACTGAGTATGGTCAAGAGGGTATTAAGGCTACTCCCACTCAAAAGGAGGCCCAGCTCAGGTGCTTTTACATTAATGCACGCAGCATGAATAATAAACTGGAGGAGCTGGAGGCTGTTGTGCGGTCAGAAAGCTATGATATAGTCACCATCACAGAAGTGTGGTGGAATGGCTCATGCAATTGGGGTGCTGTGATGGATGGCTCTTTACTTTTTAGAAGGGATAGGCAAGGCAGGAAAGGTCGTTGTGTAGAAAGAATGTTAAGAAAGACTGTGAACGTATGGAAATTAATGATGGTGATGGTAGGGTTGAGAACTTATGGGTCAGAATAAGTACTTAATGCCTTCTTTGCCTCAGTCTTCAATAGTAAGACTTGTTACTCTCTGAGCACACAGCCCTTTGTGCTGGTAGATAGGGATGGGGAACAGAATAGACCCTGTATAATCCACGATGAGATGCTTTTGGAGCAGATCCAAAACCTGGAAGCTCATGCTTGGAAGTGCATGGGGCCAGATGGATTGCACCCCAGAGTGCTGAGGGAGTTGGTGGGTGTGGTTTCCAAGCCATTCTCCATCATCCTTTGGCAGTCCTGGCTCACTGGGGATGTCCCAGTGGACTGGAGACTGACAAATGTGATGCCTATCTTCAAAAAGGGCTGGAAAGATGATCCTGGTAGCTACAGACCTATCAGTGTCATTTTGGTGTTGGGGAACATTATGGAACAGATAATCTTGGAAGCCATCATGGAGCAGTTAAAGGTCAACCAGTGGATCAGGCCCAGTCAGCATGGGTTTATGTGTGGTAGATCCTGTTTGACAAACCTGATTTGATTCTGTGACAAGGTGACCCGCTTAGCGGATGAAGGTAAGGCTGTCAGTGTGGTCTACCTAGACGTCAGTAAAGCCTTTGACACTGTCCCCCACAACATTCTCATGGAGAAGCTGGCTTCCCACAATTTGGATGGGTGTATGCTCTGCTGGGTGAAGCACTGGCTGGATGGTCGGGCCCAAAGCATTGTGGTCAATGGAATTAAATCCAGTTGGCGTCCAGTCATGAGTGGTGTCTCCCAGGGCTCAGGACTGGGGCCGTTTCTATTTGACATCTTTATTAATGACCTTGACGAGGGGATTGAGTGTACCCTCAGTAAGTTTGCAGATGACACCAAACTGGGAGGGAGTGTTGGTCTGCCAGAGGGGAGAAAGGCACTACAGAGGGACCTGGATAGACTGGATTGATGGGCCACGGTAAACTGTGAATTTCAATAGAGCCAAGTGTTGGACCCTGCATTTTGGTCATAATGACTCCAGGCAACCCTGTAGGCTTGGGAAGGAGTGGTTCAAAAGCAGCCTGATGGAAAGGGACCTTGGTGTACTGAGGGACAGTCAGGTGAATATGAGCCAGCAGTGTGCCCAGGTGGCCAAGAAAGCCAATAGCATCCTGGCTTGTATCAGGAATGGTGTGGTGAGCAGGAGTAGGAAGTAATCCTGCCCCTATACTTGACACTGGTGAGGTCTCATCTCGAGTACTGTGTTCAGTTTTTGGGCACCTCAATACAGAAAGGACATTGAGGTGCTGGAGCAAGTCCAAAGAAGGGCAAGAAGACTGGTGAAGGTCTTGAAGAATATCCCCTATGAGGAGTGACTGAAGGAACTGGGGCTGTTTAGTCTGGGGACGAGGAGGCTGAGGAGGGACCTTATTGGTCTCTTCCAATACCTGAAAGGTGATTGCAGCGAGAGCAGGGCTGATCTCTTCTCATTGGTGATAGGTGGCAGGATAGGGGAAATGGCCACAAATTATGCCAGGGAGGTTTAGGTTGGATATCAGGAAAAACTCCTTTACAGAAAGGTTTGTTAAGCACTGGAATACGCTCCCCAGGGAGGTGGTTGAGTCACCATCCCTAGATGTGTTTAAAAACCATTTGGATGTGGTGCTCAGGGACATGATTTAGTGAAGGATTGTTAGTTAGGGTAGTATGGTTAGGTTGTGGTTGGACTTGATGATCTTTAAGGTCTTTTCCAACCAAAGCATTTCTGCATGATTCTAAGTTTGCAAAATGAACACGAAAGCTTTCTCTGTCTATGTTCTTGTGGCTTATTTATTTATTTTAATGGTTTGACAGTAAGTTTTAAAGCTTTAAAGTTTTAAAGCAGCAAGGCCTCATCTTCAGTACTGATTTTATAGATGCACAGAATATCTTGAGTTGGAAGGAATCCACGGGAATCATGGAGTCCAACTCCTGGCTCCACACAGGACTACCCCAAAATCAGATCTGATGTCTGAGAGCATTGTCCAGACACTCCTTGAACTCTGGCAACTCAGTGCCATGGCCAGTCTTTAAGTGGAGGTAACAGGTTTCACCTCTCTGAGGACACAAAGTAAAACAGCATTTTATTAAAAAGCTGAGAAACAGGCATTGCTCACTTGTTTGTGTGCTGTACCGTATCTTTTGGGTCACTGTGCATGTCCCTGTTGTCTGTGATGCAAGGAAAATGGGAGGAGGATCATGGCATCTCATGTATTTTACACTATTTATAAGCAAGTGATTTCAAAACAAAAGCTTTGGAGGAGGCAACGTGAATAAAAAATGGGAGCTTAAGGAAATTTCACCTGATGACCAAACCCTGTAATTTTACAAGCTGGAAAGTAGGCGTTGTTTCTCAGAGAAACCAAAAAGCCCCGCAGCCCACACTCAGATGGAAGTGAAAGTAGTAATGAAAAAGGCATTTGATCATAATCTGTTTGTACCTGCATAGGGAGAAGATTGCTAAGATGAGGTGATACTTCAGTCTATTAGGTGGAGGTGTTATGAGCCCCAGTGTTCTGGAAAGTAGTACTACAAGAAGGAAGGCACACTTGAGTTTTTCTTTTCACAGTGGGGTCAATTAGCTGTAGGGAAGCCAGAAACATAGTGCCTGACTATAGCCTCCCTTCACAGTCCAGGGCTTCTCTGGAAGATGTGCTGAGGTTCATGAAATGGTAGACTCTATCCAGCAGATATTTGGGGAAATCTGTGGCTGTATGGGAGAACTAAGCTGTTGGGTCAAGCACTGGCCTGAAATTCTGTGAGACTCTTGTGTGAATCACTCTTGTGTGTGGATTATCAATTTATTCCTTTAAAGTTCTTCTGTAGTTAAGAAAATGGTAATTGTCTCATTCTAAGGAGAAAAATAGTTGTCTCATTCAGATATTTGTGAAAGGATGAGTTTTATGTGTTTTGTTGTGATGTGTTTCTCATGACCTGCTTGTCCCCAGTGTGCCCAGCATTATTTTTTGATTTGTCTTGACAGCCAGTTGGACCATTAGTGGTATCCCTTGTGTTAATGTGCTAGATAAACACTTGAATTGCACTTAGTTTCAGGAGAAAGCATTCTGCATCCAGGTGCTTACTTAATGCTAAACGGGGCTGAAAAGATTTAATTAGGTTAATAGCAAAGTGTTTTTTAGGACTGTGCAATACCGGCCTGGTATTGCACAACAAGCTTCTTTGCAACAAAAGAAGGAGTGCTCTGGGGAGCTATGCTAGCCCCAGTGGGTATCAAACCATCAAAACATTGAAACAGCTTTCAGTGTTTCTGGACCAGGACTTAGATGCAGAGTTTGGTAGGAGTTAAGGCTTACTCTCTCCTCATAGGATGGTGATGAGAAATAGCTGGGAATCAGTCTATTCTTGCAATAATACTGAGAGGACTTCTATCCCTATTTTCCTGCCATTTAGTATTACATAGAAGCAGTTGGTGAGGCTTGCTTTGCAGTTGACATAATAGTCCATCATTTGAAAAATAGTTAAAGTTACCTAACAGGTAAGCTCCAGCCTTTCCAATGTATATTAAATTACTCAAGTAGTCATTTACATCTGAGCTTATGCCTGGTGCAAGGGTTGCTGTTGTCACCAGCACAAACCAATGGCCACTGTTGGACTCTGCCTGGCTGTGGTGCGTCTGTGCCAGGCAGCTGGAAAGGTCCTGGTAGTGTAAAGATCTTCAAAGGCAGAGAGGATGTGGAATAAACTTCCGTGCAGTCACTTAGGGATAGCTGTCAAGGCAGATCATGATGGGATGGAGAGGGAGAAGCAACTTAGGGTTGCACCATTAGTCGCGCAGTGTGTGGCCACTTGCAATCCTCTAGTCATTGTTATGAAACTGAAATTCAGTGGCAGTTTCACAATGGCACCATGCTCTGTGTAAAGGGAAGGGT